TCGTCACTAATTATTTAGATTAATAAAGAATAATACGTAAATAAGCGATTTTAGATAAGTACTTTTATTTTCAGAAGATTAACGTAGGGAACAAAATATTACTATTAGAATTTTAAATATTTAGTTAACCGATGCTTGAGCTGGTTAATAATAATAGTTAAGACTAATAGTAACAATCTTAAATTCTATAAATTGTTTGTCTAAAACTTGATCGAATATTGAAAAACCCCCTTCAATCCGTATATTTGACATGATATGGATTTGTGTTATCATAAAATTCGATCATAAGTAATTAATCAAATAAATGAGGTCGATATAATAAAGAATTGCTACATTAAAAAACCCACAAACAGGTCGGCTCATTTTAATTTACATTTTTGCATTATTCAATGCACAATATTCGTAATTATTTGGAAGTTTTTTATTTTTCGAAAAATCAAAACACACTTTTAGTCTTACACAGATGAAAAACATAAAGAACCATTACTTAACTTCAATCTCCAAATATGTTATATAGACTTGTTCACGATCACCAGGGATATTACCCATCTGACCCTAAATTTGTGTACGCCATTATATCTCTCATTGGCGTTAATTGTACTCGCATTACCATACTTTACCGACACAAAGAAGTTACAGTTGGTACATTCTTTCTTAAATCATCCATTAGTATTAGTAGATAAGAGATAAGGTGTTTCGTGATAAACAGGTTATTTCCGGTTATCTTCGGTGGAGGTAACTTACTGTTTGTTTTGTTTACTATTATAACAGACTCGTCCATAACCAACCATTAGGAGATAAAGAACAAACTGATTCAATATGTATTGACTCATATATGTTCAGCATTATTGTGTACTTATATTGTAAGGGAACAGAAGAACTAAAACTATTCACAAACCTCTAACACGACAAAAATTTAAATTTTACTTTTATCAATCTGTACCAATTTTGAGATTCATATTCCTCATCTTTATAGTCTAATCTTTTAAGACTGTTTTGACTTAGTTAAACACATCAGGAAATGCGTGAAAACTGCAGTTTCTTTTTTAGAGGTAAAGTGTTTTTTTTACATTTTTTTTAGTTGACTATCGACATAAAAAAAATTTTCGCTGTAAACACTGCGTAAGCAAATGTTGTTTAGGCTGTAAAATCAAAATAATCTTGATACGTTAACTTCTGATACGTTGTTAAAATAGTTAAATATTTAAATTCAATTGCTCTGATGAAAATAAATTAAAGCACCGTCATTGTTTCTATAAATAAAAAGTAAAGGGCAACTAAAGGGGAAGAAGTAAGTCTAAATCCGTACTTTGATAAAAGAGCCTATGTAAGTTCGTAAAATGCGGAAAAAATGTTACAAAAAACTATTTCTACATAAAATATGCTCTAAAAGTATTACCATAATACGAATCAGGTTTCGTAAGCCAGATGCTGTCAAATATTGTAATAGAAGTGTTATTGTAATAACTCTCATTATGATTTTTTTCTCATTTGCATGATGAAAGTTCACGAAGGGTTTGCTGGAAATATGATAACGTCCGAGAGATAGCATGCATCATATGATTTATTGACTTAAATAACCTATCTTAAAACTGAAAGCTTAATCGCTACACGGTGTGGCCTACTTAAGTGAACATTCGATTTACATTTGACAATAATTGGTTACAATTTGCAGGTGTCATCAATTCGTGTTAAGTCCAAGTTTGCTCTTGCATGTCTACTCATGTTGGAGCAATTAATGAAGCAGGTCAGTATTTTGAAACTCTCTTCTGCTGTTATTTGATAATTTATACAAATCATTTTCAGTTAAACAGTACTTTTTGTTGTTACCACTCCACATAAGTTTTAATTAAAAGAGTAAAATGTCAGTAGACGCTTATGTATTTTAACGTATTGTATTAATTATTCAGTAACGGCTCTTTCGAATTACCAGACAAATGTAGTCATTAACCTAATGAATTAACTATTGTAGGGATAATCGTGGAAAGAGCTCATACTTACCGAGGCAGTTCCCCTCACCTAAGAAACGTTTTTTAATCGTATAGTAGTTTTATTTGATTGATAAAATACTTACGGCTTGGGCTTGGTTACGGCAATATCACACAGAAAAAGCATACCAGTCAAAAGTCGACCTGCGCTCTAACAACTAAGAGACATCCGCGTCCCATTTTCATAACTTTGAATCTAAATATGTATTGTACATTATGTATAATTGTGGTGTGAGTAGCCTCCGGATTGCCTATAATAACTAATGCAGTGATTTAAATACCTTATTCTGGCAATCCGATTGTTGTATTCCACAACCAGTTTAAACCTGATGATGATGAATCCTACAGGTTGAAACTAGTTGTGGAATACGATTTCCAGAATAAGGTATTTAAATTACTAAATGTATTATTTTATATTTATTTTTTACGCTATTTTTTTTATTTTGCCACTGTCATAATCGATTTCGATGTATTTATTTGTTCAATTCTGCTTACAGTCGTAACCCCAATAAAATAACAATTTTAAACAGTTAAATTTCAACAAGACCATGCACAATCTCTACAAACTGAAACAAACTGAAATGACTCTGAAACAAACTCTACAATGATTGTGTAAGCAGTGACTTAAAATCAATATTGCGTACCAGATTACATCACATAAAAAAACACCAAGCGCTAACATTCATAAATGTAACAATTATTTTACAACTATTAAAAATATAGACAATACAATATTCAAAAATACCCCCGCCACAGCAAACCTGCAGACTAAGCGAATTTCCATTAACCTGATTGGATTTACACTAAAATGCCTCCATAAAAATATCACATTTATTTCCTATTTTAATAGAATTAGTTTAACGAGTACTTAGGTTTGCTGCAACAGGGAGGGTAAAAGTGTTTTTTTATGTTAATAGTTTAGTAAGAAATGAAAGTATTTTCCAAATTCGATCAAAATATGTTCATAAACAAGCAAACTACAACAGTCGACTTATTCTCCATAAAAATAACATGGAATTTTAAATTTACAATATTTTGGAATTTTCTCAGTAACCATTAGGTGCACAACATGTCGCTTCAATATACTAAATGATTTGCTTTTTTAAGCTCTACAAAATGTTCTGTAAAATTTTGGGTTTTTAGGCTCAAAAATGGGAAAAACCTATTTTAACCCCATAAAACCCCATATAAAACCCCGTTCCCATAATCCGATCATGCTGGTTCACGAACTCGTTCGAATAAATTTAGGTTTAAACGTTTATACCAAATTTCATCAAAATCGGATCATTTTTGCTCGAGTTATCGCGCTAACGGCCATTCACACACACACATATAATATGAATTTGAACGGATGGTGTTTTTGGCCTCTAGGGACCTCAAAACGAAAAAGTAAATCGGTCCTTGGTCCAAGTCTTATTATGAGTACTACGGTAATAGCTTATTCCCTATATGGGAAATTCGCTAATACAAAACTTTCAATATTCCCTGTCTTGTGAATTTATTCAATTACAATTTATCTCCCCCGATAAATCTAACAAATATAATTAATTCAGCCTCTGTGTGAATTTACTCGCTAACTGATGTAAAAGTTGAATACAAATAACGATCACTAGATCTATATTGTGCTGAAATGTCGACTGATTATTCATACAGAGGTTATCTTTAAGACTATAGATGAGTCAAAAGATAAAATGAGAAATCTGTGTTTTTTATTCTCAGAGTTATGTTAAGATAACATGTTGTCACTTAAACGAGTCAACTATGATGACTCATTTCACCAATATACCCAGTGCATAACCGATTTCAACATTATGCGGACGCGTACCATTTCATGAGTCTAAATCAAATTTTAGAAATGATATGAAAATAAATCAAAGAGTGAAGAGAATCATTGGTTTTGTTAACTATTGCCTTACTGTTTAAGAACAGTTGAATTGAAGGCTGGTCTCGTGGTTGGGGCGTAGAACTTCTAGCCTGGAGGCCCATGGTTCAAATCTTGCAAATCGCCAATAGCATTTAACCACGTAATAGTGACATACTGGTAGTTCAGGGCATTTAGTTATAGACCCAACTATCTATACAAAATAACAGGTCTCTCAGACAAACCTGTAGCCATGGAAACCTTTGTATTTGGGAAGAGGAGGGTGGAGGTCAAACCAGGGCCCCAAAATGTCACATCGAACATCATATTGTTTTAAATCGCAAAGAAACTCATGATTCATGGGTATTTTACGAATATAATAAAATACATTTTAATTTTTGTTACAAAAGTTTAAAGTGTTAATTTGTTTTTCTTTTATGACCATATTAAAAAAAAAAAACTTGTATAAACAAGTACAGTAAAAAAATCTTTTAAATCTTTTAAAAGTGTAGGGTAAAAACCCTCTGGTAAAACACGTTAAAAATTCTTTTTTTTTAACAATTAATATAATTTTGTTTACTTAATCATATTACCATACTTAAAATGGGGACGTGAATGAGTATTTTATCCCAAATATGAGTGAAGAATGGAGTGTGATGACTGTGCAGCGTTATCACCGACTGAAACCAACTGTTTCATCTTTAGCAAGGACTGTTGATCAAAATCGTAAATATTAAGCTGGGTCCAGTTTCGAACCATCAAAACCACTGTCTTTTTTAGAATCGAACTGGCGACCCTCTAAATCAGACTATCAGTTGAAGTAATATTTTACCCATTTAAAATTTAAGTCAGGAGCCGCTTTTCTCTTTCAACAATGGCGTACGGTGAGATTCTAGACACTTGTTTCAACCCCTCCATCCTTTATGTATAACCTCTACGTAACAACAGCCAAATAAACAAAATCATACTGTCAGAAATCCATTGTATTTCACCCTGCCTAAGATTGTTTTGAAACCAAAAAGTAGTAATTTACCAGAATGCCGGTACAAAGCGGCAGATAGTAAACACAACATTATAGATCGCGCGCTGGGCGCATGCGCGTACCCGCCATATATAACCGAGCCCAGCTGATCGGAGCCAGTTGCGCGCGAACATGCATGTAGTGTGGGGTAGATGTTTCTGGAGGACTTTCTAAGTGCCAGTGTGTCTTTTAATTAATATTTTAACGATTAACAATTTCTTTTTAACTTCCTTACTTCTAGATCTACTTACTTTTACACCATGAGGTGAGTTGTATTGATTTTTCTGACTGTTCCCTTTGTTCTTTGTTTACATTCTTGACCTGACATTTACCGGAATAATCTTGAAAATTTTAGATTTTGTTTGAGTTTGTCAGCACGTTTATTCTCAGGTTTGTTGCTGTGAGTATACAATGGTGTAGAGTAGATATATGTTAAAAATAAAGTGTTTATTTCAGCCTCCTAAGCAATTATTGACTACGATTGTAGCAAAGAACGTTCTAACAAGTAGAAGCAGTGTTCTAGTTCAGTCTTAACTTGTATCATTAATGATAAATATTTTGTGGTTTCTACGATTACCAAGCAAAATTAATTAAAATTGCGTAGCAATTAAATTATTTCAATAAAATAATTAAATGCTATAATTTGCTAAGTAGGCTACCTACATGAAAAAATGTACTGTATTAACTATAAAATAAAGTTTACAAAAATACATTCAATCACACGAAGCCCTTTAGAATAGGGACGATAGTTAATATTAGGTTACATCAAGCCTGAAATAGTAATTGTAAATAGACTTCACTAAACGTATCTACAGTATCATCGAAACTGTCGTGGATACCTGAAAAACACATAAAATAGTGAAATAAGTTAAAAAACTTAATTTACATTAAATTGTTGTGATAGTTTATCAATCCCTGGCTTACGTTTGCGTATGATTTGTCATTACATATTGTTAAATTAAATTATTATAGTTTTTCCCCATAATCACTATAGGAAGTCTTCGGTAGCTTAACACGTGCATTCCAAAGGGGTTAGAGCTCATCAGAAGAGATTATTGCGAAAAATACAGCCGTTGTATCAAAAACATTCACACCACCACATTATTATTTATAAATAATCAACCAAGATAGAAAGATTAAATTTATAAATTGTATAATGGATATACGGTAAATAAATATGCGTATTAAGTAAAATACATACAATAGATAGCGTCTTTAGTCACTTATTAACTCGTGTGTAATAAAATGAATAGAGCACTAAATAATTAATTAATTAATAATGAAACACAATATCTTCTAGAATACTAATTCAACATCTATTTGGCTGTACACCTGGGTAACTTAAACTAAAAATAGTACATTGCAACCATTACTATAAATTACCTATTATAAATAATGCATGTAATCAATGTTAGGCAAAAAACTTATAAACACATTGGTCTATATCGGGATGAAAAATGTCATAACAATTGTGCTGCGAATGTGTTCAAGTTTATGATTACCTTTGCACTGCTTGGCACTGTAATGCGCGGGTTTACTTTGGCACGGTATTTGTCCTTTTGGCATCAAACGTGATCAAACGTTACGATCGTTTTGTTTATAAACCTTAGGCAACCAAAAGTTGGTTTGAATATTTACTTAAACATCTGTCTCACAAAACTGTTTTCCCGAGATGGACAGCTGCTGAAGACTGTAATTTTCAACATTGAACGTATGTCAATTCATGTTTTTTGAACAGAACTTGTTAGTGTAACCATTGACTTGAGTTAGTGCAAGTAGATTTCTCAAATGTTGTAAAATCAGACATGTGTTTTCTGATCAATCAGTGTTATCAGAAGCCTTGATTGAGATTAGATGTTTCTCTTTTGAAAGTAAAATGGTTGCATTGTATAAGAAAATACTATTTTAGAATGAATAGTTTTATTCGGTTAAAATATTTTGTATGTTAATGCAATAAGAAGACATATTTAACATCATGAAACGTTCTCTTCACGTACCAGATCAAGGAAAATCTTAAAATATCCTTCATCCAATCGACGTAGATGACAAAAAGAGATTATACTTGAAATCAATGGTACTGTATGACTCAAGCCATTTAACTGTTGGGCTGACTTTATATCGACTTTTTGTATTACTACATCGCATTGCCAGATTTATTTTGTTACGTTAAATTCTGGTACGGTGTTAAAATTAAATAGGCTATGCCAAATTCCAATAACATTTTTGCTTGTTGAATATTAATATTAGGCATAATACCATAGACTATCACTTGTTTATCTGTCTGACTTGTCTATTTTTTTTATCTATTTATGTTGCCATTTCTCTGTGTGCAAGGAAATCTGGTCCTAATATTTTAAGCTTATAAGGGGCAAAAATGTATCTTCCTAAGGAAATTAGTGACAGGGGCTACTGCATTTATGTATCTGGTTAACTCAAAGTTTTTATATCGGGGTGTGTACCTTATTTAATTAATAGCCACAGTATTTTTACCGTTGGCACTTTAAGACATTAATTTAGCAATTACAGAATTTGTATTGTTCAAACACGAAATGTATTGGAAATCTTTAAACAGTTAGATAATCCAATAAACTGCATAAACAATAGTTAACAAAGAGAGGTGCAGCTAGCAACAATGGACACGTTCGAATCATGCAGCGACTCCGTGTTATACACCTGTTGATAGTGTTATCAGTTGTATCAGCTGACTACATAACCTATCAAAGAACAGCTGGTACAAAGGCGGAACACTTTATTCTGGTTTATAACCTTAAAATACCCTCGCCGCAGCAAATCTGCAGACTAAGCGAATTTCCATTCAATCGGCTAGATTTATACTACAATATTCCCTTAAAATTGTCCGATGTATTTCCCATTTGAAAACATTAATTTTAATGAATACTTAGGTTTTCTGCAACAGAAAAAGTAATGAGGTGTGATTTTTATTGAAACGTTGATAGCTTAGTTGGAAATAAACAAATTTACCGAATTTGATTAAAATATATCCATAAACAACATAACTACAACAGTTGATTTATTCTCCACAAGAATAACATGACAATTCTAAATTTACCCATTTTGGGAGTTATCTCCATAACTGTTAGGCATACAAAAACGCGTCAATATACCTACTAGAATAATTTCAAGGCCTACTAAATAATTTCTTTTTAAGCTCTTCAAAAGAGTTTATAAAGAAATTGCAAAATTCTATGTTTTCAAGATCAAAATAGTAAAATCCGATTATTACCCCATAAAGCCCCCCATAAAGCCCCGATTCCATTGTCCAATCAAGCTGGTTCGCGAACTAGATCGAACAAACATAAGTTTGCACGTTTGTACCAAATTTCATCAAAATCGGATAATATTTGCTCAAGTTATCTTGCTAACACACACAAACACATACATGAATTTGAACGGATGGTGTTTGTGGCCTCTGGGGACCACAAAAACAAAAAATAAATTGGTCCCGGGTCCAGTCTTACCATGAGACCTGTAATAGCTTATTCCCAACAACGCCTACAAAACCTTTGGCGTAAGGGAAATTCGTAAAAACACAAAATGTCACAAATATATTGCCTAGTCGTATAGAAATGGAGGAGTTTCATGTAGGATGGTGGTTAATTTTAAATCAAATCGAAAGTACGATAGGCCTACTGTATACGAATTTGTTAAACATGCTCTCTTACAGAATTGTTTTCCGTAGGGTCAGAGGTTTAGAAATTATATCATAATTAGGTTACGAATTGAATACAGTAACAAATATTAATCACTTATTTTTTTCGATGACGTAGTTTTCAAAACGTATTTTTGAGTCGATATCCCAATACCACTGTCATCCCAAACCTGTGTGTCGGCAATGTAGCGGCTCAGACCAACCTTCATCGAATGCTAATTCAAAGTTCGTCGTATAATTTTATCACGTGAAAACCACGTGGTCCCCATTCTTTCAAATGTCAACATTTTAAAATACAGTTTCACTTCACATATGTGATTTTTTTGTATTTAAATATTTATTTTGTATATAAATAACTCAAGTGTGTTAAATGTTCTTAGTTTTACAGTGACTTAATTTACAACCAGTTTCAGTTATTGTTTCCATCCAAGTTAGACCCATATAAAATCATAAATTAACCACAATTAGAAACTGATGGTTTCTGGATCGATCGTTCTTGGATCGAACTAGCATCCTCCTTTTGAGGTTGAGGTCTTTGGAGAGTAAAAATGCTACTTTAGACTCGCAACGCATGCATTAAAAACGGCCGTGTTTGCTGCAGTACCTATGTCGAAAAAATATTATCAATGACAAGTAATACTGATCACAAAGAAACGATCATAGAACTGTTAATTTATTAACATTTTGTGTGACAAAAGTATTCGATTTCCGAGGCTGTTTATAATTGATTTAGATGCGAACGCTATGCGATTACAGCAGTGCAACTGTCCCCACACTAGACGGGAATAGCAAAGGCCAAGGATTCATCTAGGACAAGGACAGCTGGCAAATTTATTTGAATTCGCGCCAAAAATAAAACTACTAATTTCCGTGTGTCTTCTACCACTTGTATTTGACCTTCAATGGAATGGACGAGGCTGGACTCATATTTTTACTCATACAATTTACGAAGCTAGACTTTTTTGTATTTAGTCTGTCTCACTCTGTCCACGCGGTCCGGAATCAATCTGATCATCGTGGTATGTAATCAGAATCTAGCATTGGTAGGTGTCAAAGGAGCAGGAATGTTTTAAAACCTTCGAATGTTAAGGGGTTTTAAATCTAAAATCCAGAAGTCGAAATCAAGTTGTTCTCTGGAATGATTTGATGACTAGTCAATGGTTTCAGCTTGTTTAGTTGCTTGTTTTTTTGACGATGTTAGGTTTTCAACTGAGAAAAATGTCGCATCAACTATCACTGTCAAAAATGACAAAAATGGAGGCAGTAATATTTTTTTACTCTAGTGAATTATGTGAATGGTTCATTTAATGTTCTTTTTTCATAGACAAATGCCTATTGTTCGTCCATATTGATGGGATGTATACTTCAGTATCCAAAATCCCAATAATTATACTACACAGTAGAAACTATTGTTTTTTTAATTATTTGTTTTGGTATTTGTATAATGGGAGCCTGTTGTAAATAAATAAATCTAGAGTGTTTGTATTTATAATAAAAAAGATCGAAAAAAATAGTTATATTTTTTGTAAACACTATTAAGTGATTGGCAGCATATCCCTATAATTTATTGTAGAACCACGTTTTCAAACAATCAG